GGCGCCACCCCCGCGGTACGGGCGGGGACCCCGCTGGAGGGGGGCGCTGGGCGGGTGGCTGGGAGCCCGGTGGGGACCCTGAGCCTCGGAAGCCGGGGGCTCTGACCTCTTGCCCCCTCCGGGGCCCCGCCCCTCCCCGGGTCTTCGCCGCCTGGCCCCACCCCGCATGACCCCTCCTTGACCACATTCCCGAGCAGGGGCCCGGGGGCGCCCGAGGGCACCCCCCCCCACTTCCCGCCTTCCGGCCTCTCGGGTCCCACTTGTGCTTGGCCAGGTCGGTGGCGGGACCCTTGAGAAGCCCCCCAGGCTTGAGCTGCGAGGGCCCCTGCTTTAGGAGAGGGGTGAGAGAGGCTGGATCGTTCCCGGCTCTTCCCTCTCGTGATAGGCCTTACTCCGTCAGGGTTCCCTCTCTCTCGTAGCCTCAGCCTTCTGGGTGGCCCCGCTGCCAGCCTCTTCGTCTTTAGTCACCTTTGCATTTCCCCTGCCAAGTTGGAGGGGGGGAAATGTACTTGGACCCTCTCAGTGCGTTGGTAGGAAGTGGACTCACTGTAATCAACCGACGCCACCGAGGTTTTGGCTGGTGATCCGTCTTTGCTGCCCAGAATTAGGTTTTCTTGGCCAGGGGCTCTAGCTTTTCAGCCACAGACTCAGCCAAATCCCACTCCAGTCGGGGGACCTTGAGGACCAGTGCTCCTGCCTGTACGTCTGCTGTCAGGAAGCAGTGGATGCTAACGCCTCTGTAGGCGTTTGTAGTCCAAAGGTGGGGTGGGCTGAGGTGAGGAGGATGGGGTAAGCGGTACCTTACAATTACGGAGTGTGTGCTGTCATGCGGAAGACAAATTACGCTTATTATCTCGTTTAATGCTCATTACAACCTTTATGAGGTACGGGCTATTAACCGCCATTTTGCAGGGTCTGTAAGGCGCCGCAAATCAGTTGCCTGATTAAGCCTGGATTTGAACCCGGCTGTGTGTGAGTCCACTAGTTAGCCCTACATGTTTAAGTTTAGTTAGGATTAGATAGAGAAGGAAGAAAATGGTTTCAACCTGGACCTCATCACTCATCTCTCACCTGCTTGAAACACCTGTGGACTTCTCAGCGGCCTCCTGGTATTTCAGTTCCTTCCTTGGAAGAATACGGCTTAGTGTTTCTTATTACTCTTTTATTCTCCATGATAATTCTGTTACAGGAATTGCACATAGAGGAGTTGTGAGTTCCCCAGACCAGCTTCCGTTAGCAGAGTGAATGATTCAGAGAGATGTCCAGATTGTAAAACGTGAGAAATAACTAGGGCTGATTCTGGTCTTCTCACTGTTGGAAATTCTGGAGTGTGGAGAGTGTCTTGGTGGTGGGGTGGTCCCTCCTTTCCTGTCTTAACCTGCTTAGCTTGCTGAAATGCTGAGGCTCCTCAGAATCTAGGTTCGCCTGAGCCGTTACATGTTAGGAATGCCCATAGGCTGGGATTAAAGGATGCCAGTGCATGTAATTTGCCTGTGCTGTGAAGGTTACTGAAAATTCTGCCACTCGGAGCCTTTGTAGTGCCCAAGGATTCCTTTGGTTCTGGAAATTGTCCTCTCTGTACATGTGCAAGGGATCTTAAGGGGGCTGGGCCAGCACTTGTTTGGTTTTCAACTCTGCTGCTTCTTTGTCCTCCTTTCCAAGGCTGATAGAGATGGGATTGCATCAGAAAATGCTGGCAGCTTGGGAAAAAACTTGAATGCTTCACGCCAAATTCTGTCACTGACAATAAGCTGCAAATGCACACTTAAAAAAAAATTTTTTTTTTTAAAGTTTTATTTTTGGCTGTGTTGGGTCTTCGCTGCTGCGCGCAGTCTTTCTCTAGTGCGGCGAGCAGGGGCTACTCTTGGTTGCGGTGCGCGGGCTTCTCATTGCGGTGGCTTCTCTTCTTGCGGAGCACGGGCTCGAGGCACGCGGGCTTCAGTAGTTGTGACTCACGGGCTCTAGAGTGCAGGCTTAGTATTGTGGCGCTTGGGCTTAGTTGCTTTGCGGCATGGGGGATCTTCCCGGGCCAGGGGTCAAACCTCGGTCCCCAGCATTGGCAGGCAGATTCTTATCCACTGCACCCCCAGGGAAGCCCCAAATGCACACATTTAAAGTAAACCAACTCTCTTTAGCAGTTGCTTCTCATTTCATTTTCTAGTCCTGATCAGTGGGTTTCCCATTTCTCCAGTAAAGCAGAGTGGAACTGAAAGAACGAACTGTTTGGGTATTTCCTCCAAACCTGGTTTGTGTCTGAGAAGAACGTATCACACCTTTGGGACTGAGGCAGTATTCTGTCTCTCATAGAAAGGTTGTTAGTTGGCCGTGTGGCATCAATCTCTCATTTTGAAAGATTAAGGGTAAATAACCAACAATTTCTTTCTTTGAAAGACAGTGTAGAGCAGTGGTTAAAAGTATGGACTCTGGAGCCATCCCCACTGGGCTAGGATCCTAGCCCCACTACTTACCAGCTGTGTGATCTTGGACAAGTTACTTAAGTTCTCTGGTTTTAGTTTCCCCATCTGTAAAATAGGAATAATACTAGTGCCTATCTCGTAGCATTGCTCTGAGGATTAAATGAATTAACTTATTTTAGAACAGTGCCTGACACAGTGTGTTACCTATTACTATTCCATTCAGTGAACTCTGGAGTTTCACTTACAAACCATCTAAGCCTTTTCTCAATCCCTATTAAAACATTTTTTGGGATATGAGATTTCATATGTTGACCACCAGTCCCCTAAGGTTGGTTTTTTATTTGCTCGGAAGTAATTTCCTTGAAATTTAAAGGAACACGCTGAATGCTGGTGTTTATCCTAGCTGTCCTTTGTGCCTTTTAGATTTCAGCGATATACTTTCTTTTTCATAATGGTATAGTCTTTTTAGGCTGTCTTCAAAACAGTCTGTTGGAATTGCATTTATTGCTTATCCTGTTTACTCCACATTACTCGGTTTTGTATGGCTAATCTCTTATCAAAGTCCCTTCTAGTCTGTACATGTTATGGCCCATAGGAAAGGTAAATGTCATCCCTATTTTTGTACTTTCCCATCAGTTTTTCTGTCTTTAGTGAAGGGCAGAAGCATGGTTCAGTCTGATTGTTTAATGGTTGTTGAATATTGAGAATTATTACGGAACGTAGGTTTCTAATCTGTTCAGGCTCACTGGATATAATAAATTTTGGACTGAGAAAACACAGAGGCAGGGAAGGGAGAAGAGTACAGCAAAGATGTTACGGAGTGGAAGAGCATGGCTTGAATCCTGACAGACTTTGGTTTGAACTCCAGCACTCACTTACTATTGGACTTGCCACTCTACCTCTCTGAACCTCAGTTTTCTTCTCTGTAAAATGGGAGTAATAATAATCCCATTTGAGGGTTGACTGAAGCCACAGATGTTAAGAGTGTGTGGTGCATATTAAGTGCTCAGTGAATGTTGGTTTCCTTCTCCAAGTTTCTGTATGCAGTTTTGGAAGATTATTGAACTCTTGAATAACAGTAGTTCAAACAAGACATTTTTCCCCTCACTCTTTATTTTGAAAAGTTTCCAACTTATAGGAAAGTTGAAAGAATAATACAGAGAACTCCTGTAAAACTCGCATAAAAACGTCACCAAGATACACTGTTTACATTTTGCTGAATTAGCTTTATCTCAGTCTCTTTATATATATTTTTGAAGGATTTGATAGTAAGTTACAGACATCGTGATATTTCATCCTAGAATACTTCATCTTGTCTCTCATAAGAGTAAGGTTATTCTCCTACATAACCATAATACCATTATCACACAAGAAGTTTGGTATTGATAAAATATTATTTACTAATACCACATTCAAAATTCTCCAATTAAAAAAAAAAATCAGGATCCAGTGAAGAAATAGGGAGTGCATTGATTTGTCTCTTTAGTATGCTTTAATTTAGAATGACTTCCTAACCTTTAAAATTTTTAAAAAACTTTTTACTGCTGTTTAACATACACCCAGAAAGTACACCAATTTTGTGTCCAGCTTGGTGAATTTTCACGGAGTGAGCACACACTTGTGTAACCAGTACTCAGATCAAGAAATCAAGCATTACTGGGACCTCAGAAGCCTCCTTGGCGTCCCTCCCATTACTAGCCAATCCCCCAAAGCTGCCCCTATCCTAACTTAAAATCCGTAGATTAATAGCTTTTTGAGTGACCAAGTCTTTGTGGCCAAAAGCTTTACTGTGGAATTCCAATAGATGTGTTGTGGTCAGTTTTGACAAATGTATATACCTGTGTAACCACCACCACAGTCAACATCAAAACAATTCCAGTATTCCTGAATGTTCCCTTACCTTGCTTCCCAGTAAATCCTAGCCTTTGGCCTCAGGAAATCTGAACTGCTTTTTATCACTATAAATTATATTTGTCTCTCCTAGGATTACATACGAATGTATTCATAATGTAAATGTTCTTTTGTGTCTCATTTTTGCTCATAATAATGTTTGTGAAATTTATATTGTATGTCTCAGTAATTCATTACTTTTTATTAGTGGGTAGTATTCCATTGTATAGCTATACCACAGTTTGTTGATCTGTTCACCACTTGATGGATTTGGATTATATTAATTACCTATTGCATAACTGATATTATAAATTTATCAGCTTAACGCAGCTCATGTTTATTGTCTCACAGTGTCTGTGGGTCAGGAGTCAGGACACAGTTCAGCTGAGTCTCACAAGGCAGCAGTCAAGGTGTCTGCCAGGGCTGTGATCTCATCGGAGTCCTGACTGGGGAAGGATCTGCTTCCTAGCTCATGTGGTTATTGACAGCATTTAGTTCCTTATGGACTTCAGACTGAGGACCTCTTTTTGTGACTGGCTGTCACCCAGGACC